GGTGAATTTGATGAAGACCTGGAAGCCTGGCCAGAACAGGAAGACTGGCCCATCCAGGTCCCAGGACCCCCCTCGTCCTCGGCCTCGCCCCCCTCCCCTTCGCGCGCGTGCATCACACCCAACCCCCCAAGCCAAGACGAGCCCCAGGAAGGATGCCCGAGCTATTGGATCCCAGAAGACTTGTGGTCCAGAGTGCGTTGCAGAGTTGGTTTTGTCCCGTCTTCTGTCTGCAATGTCACTGAGTACTACAGGGACTCCCTCAGTAGCCGTTTTGGCTCCAACCTGGCACAAGAAATTTCTGGCTTGTATGCTTCCTGGATCACCACAGTGGAAGCGGCCATTTGCGAACACCACACTACTCAGGCCTCTTCGGGCCCCAGCCGCGCGCAGGGGCACCGATTCCATGTGGGAGAGGTCCATCAGGCAGCACATGCCAGAACACAGCCTTTCCAAGATGATGTTGCGAATTGGTGGACACGGGCATCAACGCTGCTCTCCGCCTTTGTCAGACATCGGTTGCGAAAGAATGGACAACGTCAATGCCAAGAGTTGCAGGACTCCATGAGAGCCCTGACTGGTGATATTCCTGATAATGCTGAATCTTTGTTGAGGCCTTATGAGCCTCCCTGGCAGGAGCTCTTGATAGGGCTCCGTTCGCTCCAGCCCATCTCGGACGCCAACTTGGACAAGCTCGACGGCCTCCTGCGCAAGGTAGCCAAGAGGTCGCAAAACCAAGCTATGCGTGCGTCCATGCAGCGTTTCCGTGAGTGGGTTGACAGCCCCCAAGCCCTTGGTCAGCTCCATCAGAATCTCAAGGATGAGCCGTTGACCAAGCAAGAGTTGTTTCTGCCAGGCCGTGTCGTTTTCAACCCAAAAGATATCATGGACGAGAAAAGATCCCATTGGGCCAACATATGGGCCCCCACTGAGCCCAAGCTCAGTGACCTCGACGCTGCATTTGATGAAGTACGTATCGCAGCTGAGGACGGGGTGCTCCCCGACCTGGACGCCGCAGCCATTCGACGTGCAACTAAGAAAATGCGGCCCAAGTTGGGTCAGGGCGTTGATCGCCTCTCGCCCTTAGACATCGAGAGGCTGCCCGACTCAGCCCTCACACAGTTGAGTTCGTTATTCGAGACCATCGAAGAAGCGCTGGCGTGGCCCATCCAGACCCAGCTGGTCATAGGGCACATGATGCCCAAGCATCGTGGCAGCGGCGACCGCATCATCGGCATACTCACCATGTTCGCGAGAGTGTGGTCCATGTGTCGTGAACCAGAAGTTGCAGAATGGATGGAGAATGATAATGCCAATGCTCCCTGGGATGCAGCAATCTCAGGCAATGCAGCGTTGCGAGAAGCATTTATCAGAGTACTTGACGAAGAGCTAGCTCAACATCTCTCAGTTGATATAGGTAATGGCCTCTTGGACATCAAGGGGTTCTATGACGCAGTGCAGTTCGACTTGCTCATCAAAGGAGCGCTCAAAGTCGGGTTCTCCCCAACAATCTTGTACCTTGAGCTTCTCCAATGTGCTGCTCCCAGGACACTGCGCCAAGCAGGAGCATATTCAGAACCCATAGTTCCGTTTCAGAGTATAGTCCAAGGACTTAGATCAGGAACAAGATTTGCGAGAATGATGGTATTTGCAGTGCTGAAAAAGATAACAACAGCACATCCCTCGTTTTCACATCGAATTTGGATCGACGACCTTAGCCAGAGTACGAAAGGATCTCGTGCCCACATTCGCAGAGCCCTCACTCAGGTGATCGTCGACACTTGTAAGGAGTTGAAAGAGCAGAAGCTACAAGTGGCAGTCAAATCCGCCGTCCTCTGCACACACATGACCGACGCCAAACACATCGCCAAAGCTGTCAGAAAGGCCGGCTTCACGATTGAAGCTAAAGCTCAAGTTGCCTACTTAGGCACCGACCTGGGCGGAGGCAGACGCATGGCCAGAGCTATTCGACGGCAAAGGTTGGCAAAATCGGCATTGATGAGTGCAAAGATAGCAAGATTCACCAAAGTTTCGCGGAAGTATAACATCATGAAACGACTCGAACGTCAAGGGTCACATGCTGCAGGAGCCTATGCCCATCAAATCCATGGGGCCTTTGGCTATGCGATCACGGCCTTCAGAAGGAGATTGGGACATGCAAGTGCAGCAGCTTCTACTGGTAGATGTTTGACGACTCTCCTGGCCCTTCAAGGGCCCACAGGGGATCCAGGCGTCAAGATGGCAAGTGACTGCCTTCAGCTATGGTTCCGTATGTGGGCCCATGAGGCGTCGCACCTCAGAGCGGCCATCAGACTTGCATGGCCAAAGGTGGTGTCCAAGTTCCAGCAGCTGGACCCAGCCCAGAGGCCTAGACATATTCGTGGGCCCATGGGCGCGGTCATCTGCTACCTGCTGGAGACAGGATGGACGCCCACATCCGCTGAGTCGTGGGATCGCCCTGCAGGTCCTGATGGCAACGTCATCGAGTGGAACTTTCCAGAGAGCATCTTTATTGAGCAGAAAGGAGTTGATTTATCTAGAGACCTTGTGCGTGAGTTTCAAGAAGATAGAACCAGAATGTTGTGGGAAAAAGCAAGCTCCCACTTCTGTGGTGGAGGAGCTGAACACGGGGTAGACATGTCGTCGTATATCAGCCTCATTCGACAACTTCGTGACGTTCCGCACGGCCACAGATTGGCAGAGCTAATGACAGCAGTCGCCACAGGCGGCACCTGGCCGCGAGACAGGCGAGTACAGCAGAAGCCAGGAGTCTGCTCGCCTCTCTGCCAGCGGTGCCGCCAAGCACGTGAGACCCCGTTTCACAGAGTTTGGGCCTGCCCCGAGAACCGAGGGTCCCTGGCCTACGAAAAATCTGAAGAGTTTGTGCCCGAGGCTTACTCCCAATGGGAGTCGGCCGAGTGTTTTTGGTTGCGGGGCCTTCTACCTAGCTCTTGGGTTGAGGCCCCCCCGCCTGTCATGTCTGACGACTGGCGCTGCTCAGGAACTTTTAGCGAATTAGCCAAAGGTGTAGCCGGACAGGGTTCACAAGAACACCCCCTCCATTTTTTCGGGGACGCTAGCGGGGGCCCTGAGTCGGCCTGTCTTCGTCTCAGAAGAGTTGGAGTAGGATTGGTTTTAGCTGCCGAACCAGCCGCAAACGATGAATTTAGGACACTAGCAACTGTAGAAGGGCCTCTTTCAGGGCACCGTCAGGTTGTTGGCAGGGGAGAACTCACTGCCCTGTGGCTAGCCCTGTATGTAAGTTCTGGGTATATAGTTTTCGTGTCCGATAATTTCAATGTGGTAGACGGCTGGTATTCAAATCGATTTGAGTCGCCTTCAGGAGAAGAGGCGGACCTCTGGGCTAAAATCGGCCGCGAGGTAAAGCTCAGAGGTAAAGAGAAGGTTTTAGTTTTATTTATAAACTCACATCTGTCTGGTGCTGATGTTTTCCATCAACGTTTTCCCGAATGGATGATTGTAGGCAATAACACAGCTGACGCTATTGCAGAAATAGCCGCCACCCGTTCGCGCGTTGACGAACAAACCAGAGCCCGTATCCATCGGCACGAAAGGCGAGCCTTCTTAGTGCGCCATCGCTTGCTTCGTGCCAACTTAGATGCAATCGAAAACGAGAGAGCTCTTGGAAATGTTGTGAAAAAGAAAGAGGCCGTCAAGGCCCCTGCACCTCCTGGTCCGTTGCAAGTTTCAGTTTTCACCAGCGGCCATCAGCTGACAGAGAACGGCCGAGGGTGCACGCGCTGTCGAGGGTCTGCCACGCAAGCTTGTGTCGTAGCGTGGAGACAATCGCCATGTTTTGAATTAATAACGCTCGGAGGAATATATTTTTCCCTTCCCCAGGGGGCTCGTCTGCACTTGGCTGGGGGGTGGGTCGACAACAGCCATTGTCTCCGCCACCATTCAGGACTCAACCTTTGGTTCTGTATGTGTTGCGGCCACTACGGCCAGTCCATGAAGGGCCAATTGCACAGTATATGCAGTAAGCCTTCTGTCCCAACCCCTCACTGTCAAGAATATTTATCAAGAATCCAGGCCCATCAGTGGCCTAAGGTTCTTAGTAAGGCAGAGAAAGCTGCCCGCCTCAGGAATGCGAGTGTCGGCGGGGGACCTACAGAGGGTTGTGCGGGGTCCCCAGGGTGAGGAGGAGAAGGAGGAGGAGCGGCGAGCGCGGCGCCTCTCTCGCGCCCGCGCGTGCGGCCGCCCCCTTCAACGACCTCAACACCAAGGACCGCCGCCCCCCTTCCCCTGCCCCTTTTCCCATGTTCTTGATCTTGACTCGCTTAGCGATTGCCTCACTCACTCACTCCTCCTCCGCCTCCTCCTCCTCCTCCTCGTCCTCCTCCTCCTCCTCCTCCTCCTCCTTCTCCTCCTCCTCCCCCCCCGGCGGCGAGAACGTGCGGTGGACCTCCACACCTCCTCCTCCTACTTCTCTTCCTCCTCCCCTCCTCCTCCTCCTCCTCCCCCTCCCCTCCTCCTCCTCCTCCTCCTCCTCCTCCTCCTCCTCCTCCTCCTCCTCCTCCCCTCCGCCTCCTCCTCCTCCTTCTCCTCCTTGTCTTCCTCCTCCTCCTCCTCCTCCTCTCTTCCTCCTCCTCCTCCTCCTCCTCCTCCTCCTCCTCCTCCTCCTCTTCCTCTTCTCTCCTCCCTCCTCTCCTCCTCCTCCTCCTCCTCCTCCTCCTCCTCCTCCTCCTCCTCCTCCTCCTCCTCCTCCTCCTCCTCCCGGCGGCGTGAGCGTTCGGTGGGCCTCCCCCTCTTCCCCCGCCTGCTCCTCCTCTCCTCCTCCTCCTCCTCCTCCTCCTCCTCCTCCGCCTCCTCCTCCCCCTCCTCCTTCTCCCTCCCCGCCCCCTCTCCTCCCCTGTCCCTCCGCACTGCCCCCACCCTCCCCCACTGGGCGCGGCGGCACCTTTCTTTTCGACGGCGACGGTGACGACCGCCCCATGAGGCCGACGGGGGCGACGACGACGGTGGCGACCTTCCCCCCCGAGGCCGACGGGTCCCGCGACGCCGGCCCGGTGGCGACGGAGCCAGAGGTGCTGGTCAACGGGTCGCGCGAGCCGTTCGACGTGTTACCGGTCGCCACTGCGCCGTCGTTGGCATCGTCTACCTCGTCCTGCTCGTCCTCCTCGTCATCCTCGTTCTCCCCATCCTCGTCTCCTCGTCTCCTCCTTATGCTCCTCCTCCTCCTCCTCCTCCTCCGCCTCCTCCTCCGCACGACGGAAGGTACTTTCCATTTTCGGCCTACTCCTTTTCCTCCCGCTCCTCTCCCTCCTCCTCCTTCTCCTCCTCCTCCTCCTCCTCCTCCTCCTCTGCCCGGTCGCGTCGTCAGAAAGTCACGATTCGTGAAGGGTGTGCTGTGGTTTCGGCCCCCAGGGTGGCCCTTCTTGCGCCCGAGGGTTGTCTGAAAGAGCGACTCCGGATGAAAGTCCGGTCGGGGTCAGGACCTCGAGGGGTCTACGTTGCGGAAAAACGAAGCGCGATGTCAAGGGTGTTGGTCCTCGTCCCCCCCCTCCCTCCTTCCCTGCTCCCTCCCTCCCTCCTCCTCCCCCTCCTCCCTCCCTCCTCCCTCCCTCCCCCCCCCTCATCGCTCGCCTCCCCCCTCCTCTTCTTCCGTCCTCCCCCCCCCCCCCCCCCTGCTCCACCTCCCCCCCCACCTCGCCTTCCTCGCTGCCCCCTTCGCTGTCTGTTGCCGCGCCTCCTCTGCTGCCCCTTGCCTGCGCTGCCGTTTTCCGTCGCTCCCCCTAACGAGCCCCCCCGAGCCCCCCCCCCCCCGTGCGGGCACATGCAGGCGCGCTCTCCGGGCCTGCGCTGCGCGTAGCGTTAAGTCGGGCGTGTCCCCCTACAGGGGCATTTTCGACGAAAACTAGAAAATACCCCCAAAATAATCCCAAAATAGTCCAAACATAGTCTGGGGACTATTTTTTGAGTATGTGTTGCCCTTTTTGGTGTATTTTTGGGGTCTTTTTTATTTTTCGTCGGAAATCCCGCTGTAGGGGGACACGCCCGACATAAGCGTAGCACCAGCCGTCCGCGTTCTCTGCGTCCTCCTCGCCAGCTTCCCCGTCTTGGGGGCGCCCGCCGACGACGTCGGTGTCGGCTCCGCCCCAGCATACTAACCCAGACGCGATCGCGTCGCCAGAAAATCAGGAGGGGAGCCTTTTCGCTGTTTTCGGCCCCAGGGGGCCCTCGCCAGTCTCTGGGAGCGTCTAAAAGCGACTCAGGATGAAGAACCGGCCCCAGGGAAAGGGTCGGGACTTCTGGGGATGCCGTCCTGAAAACATCAGGACGTCGCATGTCTGGGAGTACTACATGTGCGTCGCACCCCCAGGGGCGACGCGCGCGCCGAGAAGTCTTATAGTATCAGCTGTGGGGCGGGCGCTTCCTGCCCCTGCCGCTCGGGAAACGACATACCGCAAGTGGTTTGTACTACATCCACGGTTCGGACGCACGCCTCCGAGGAGAACACACAGTACGTGCTAGTATGTCCTTGTGCGTCCCGTTGGTGTCGCGGAGGGGCCTCATGCTTCGACGCTGCGGAAGCCTCCCTCCCCGTGCTCCTCGTCGCCTGGCGTGGCCGCGGGGCCCGGCTCGGGGGAGGCCGTCCCGCGGGCTGGACGGGCGCAGTGTCCGGCAGGTGGGGTCCTGCTTCGTTTCCTCCTCCCCCCCCCTCCTCCTCCTCTCCTCCTCCTCCTCCTCCTCCTCCTCCTCCTCCTCCTCCTCCTCCTCCTCTCCTCCCTCCTCCTCCCTCCCCTGCTTTCCTCCTCCTCTTCCTCCTCCTCCTCCTCCTCCTCCTCCTCCTCCTCCTCCTCCTGCTCCTCCCCCTCCTCCTCCTGTTTCTCCTCCTCCTGCCGTCAGGCCAGGCATGGAGCGCCTGCCACCGCGGAGAAGCGGTGCAGCCTGGGCTCCGGTGACCATTCGCAGGACTGGCGGAGGCGGGTGGGGCTCCTGCCCAAAGTGGTGGGGGCAGCCCCTGCCCAAAAGTGGCAGGGGCGACCGCCCGGGGGCGCTCCTTCCCCAGATGGCTGCTAGCCGCGTGGGCCCCTCGGCGGTCAGAGGGCTCCACCCTCTCGCTGTCGGTGGGGCGCGGCTGGCGGCTTTTTCCTCTTTGGGTATCCCCACCCTTCTCGTCGCCACGTTCTGTTGCCCACCCTTTCCGCCCACGGTCTGGGTACTCCGCCCAGGGGGGTGGGCGGATCGCCTGCGGGCGGCTCATCGGGGTACCCCCACCCAGCCTGCCCACGGCCGTGGTTCCCCGCCCGGCGCGCGTGGGGGTGGGGCGGTCTGTCGTGGGAGTGGTGCCCCACCGCTAGTGCCTGCTTTTTCTTACCTCCACTGCTCGGCTCTGGTGGTCACCTTGGCGTGCTGTTGTACATCAGGGAACGGTGCAGGTCGAGCTCCGCTCGTCCTGCTGAGCACGGAGTCGCCTCCGCTTGCCCTGCTTCTTCCCCCCCTCTGACTGCGGGCACCTTGCGCTAGTTACTTAGTTAAAAAATGCTCCTCCTCCTCCCCCTCCCCCTCGTCCTCCTCCTCCTCCTCCTCCTCCTCCTCCTCCTCCTTCTCCTCCTTTTCCTGCTTCTCCTCCTTCTCCTCCTCCTCCTCCTCCTCCTCCCTCCTCCTCCTCCTCCTCCTCCTCTCCTCCCCCGCCTGCCTCCTTCTGCTCCTTCTTCTCCTCCTCCTCCTCCTCCTCCTCCTCCTCCTCCTCCTCCTCCTCCTCCTCCTCCTCCTCCTCCTCCTCCTCCTCCTCCTCCTCCTCCTCCTCCTCCTCCCCCGCCTGGCGGTTCTGCGCTCTTTTCGGCCCCCGGGGGGCCCTCGCCAGGCCCTGGGGCCGTCAGAAAACTACTCGTGACGAAAAGCCGGCCGTGTGGAAAGGGTCGGGACTTCCAGGGACGCCGTCTTGGAAAAATCAGGACGTCGCATGTCTGGGGTTCGATGCTCATTTGGGGGGCCTTCCTGGGGCCCACCTCGTGGATCTGTTCGACTCCAGTTCGATTCAAATTCGACTCAAGTTCGATTCGGGTTCGACTCAGGTTCGGCTCAGGGTCGATCCAAATCGACGGATGTTCGACGCAGCTTCGCCGCAATAGTGGAGCGAGTGTCTCCAGGAAGGTCCTCAGAATGAGCATCCAAACATGAGGGGGGGGGGGGGGGCAGCGAGGGCTGCAGAAAAGGGGCCCCTGAGGACCCCGGAAGGGGCCCTCTGGTGCCCCAAAGGGGGCCTCTCGGGCCCGAGAAGTGCACCTTTCTCCCCCCCCCCGTGTATCCCCCGCCCCCCTGGTACCACCCGCGCCGCGTCCGCGCGCGACAGCGCCCGCAGGCATTCCCTAGCGGCCTGCGCCGGGGCGCTCACCTCGTCGAGGTCGTCCACGCTGGGCGCGGCGTCCTCCCCGAGGGGAGCGAGATCTGCACAGATCCACTGCTCCTAGCCAGACCCGTCCTGGGCCCGGGGGCGGTATGACCCTCCCTCTTGGCTTGGTCAGGGAGGCGTCTACACCGCTCCTCCTCCTCTTCCTCCTCCTCCTCCTCCTTCTCCTCCTCCACCTCCCCCTCCCTTTCCTCCTCCTCTTCCTCCTCCTCCTCCTCCTCCTCCTCCTCCTCCTCCTCCTCCTCCTCCTCCTCCTTCCTCCTCTCCCCTCCTCCTCCTCCCCCTCCCCTCCTCCTCCTCCTCCTCCTCCTCCTCATCTCCTCTCTTTCTCTTCCTCTTTCTCTTCCTCTTTCTCTCTCTTTCTCCTCCGCTTCCTCCTCCTCCGCCTCCTCCTCCTCCTCCTCCTCCTCCTCCTCCTCATCCTCCTCCTCCTGCTCCTCCCCCCCTCCCCTTCTCCCCCTCCTCCTCCTCCTCCTCCTCTTCCTCCTCCTCCTCCTCCTCCTCCTCTCCTCCCCTCCTCCCCTCCTCCTCCTCCTCCTCCTCCTCCTCCTCCTCCTCCTCCTCCTCCTCCTCCTCCTCCTCCTCCTCCTCCTCCTCCTCCTGGCTCGATGGCATCGCTTCTGCTCGGGGCAGGGCACGATTCTCCCGCGGCCGCAGGGTGTGCACGCGAGCGCACCGGACGAATGACCTGCCAGCTCGCAAGGATGGAGCGTCCAAGCCTGGCCCATGACGTCGTCTGAGCTTGGAGCTTTGAGCTCGCGCGGCGTATGCAGACCATACGTGGACTGCAGCGCGGGATCGCGAAGGCTGCTGCTCGCATTGAGGTCTTTCGTGCGCTGCTTGCTTTGCCCTGCGCCACGCTGTTCTGTGCCCCTTCGCCCCGAAATGGTAGCGTCGCAAACCTGGGTAGCGGAGCGCCGGAAGGCCGTCGAAAGGCCTCTTGAACGAGCTCTGGACGCTCCTGGAAGGAGCTTCCGAATGAGCTTCTGGTGAGCTTCCGGCCAAACGTAGTGGGAAGCGCTAAGAAAAGGGATCTCGGGACCCGCTGCAGGGTCACAGGAGTTCCGGCGAGGCGTCCTGCCAGAAGCTGGAGCGAGCTCCGAGGCTACCATGAGGAGGAGGAGGAGGAGGAGGAGGAGGAGGAGGAGGAGGAGGAGGAGGAGGAGGAGGAGGACGAGAAGGAGGAGGAGGAGGAGGAGGAGGAGGAGGAGGAGGATGCAGTGCTGGCTTCTGATCTGAAGCCAACTTAGCCCGGTGCGAGCTACCCGGCGAAAAATGACACTGAGTTCGAGGCTCTCCAGCTGCTCACGGATGGCCCTCGCATGGCCCACAGGCAGGTCCTCGCTTGTTTCCTGCCCCCCCTCTGCCTTCCTGGGCCCTCTTCGCACCGTCTCGCTTTCATCAAGGTCGAAGAACCGCGTAAACAAACTGTCGGTGCTCCGCGCGGATTTCTTGGCTCGGCGCTGGGCCCCCCTTCCCGGTGCGCTGAGCGCGCCAGAGCAACACTGGCTGCCCAGCGCCGATCCAAGAAATCCGTCTGGAGCTCCGAACAAGTGTTTACGCCGCTTCGTTTTCTTCTTCGGTATAAGGCCCGTTGGGCCCGAGCGTCCGTCCGGGCCCTGCCGTGCAGGGCCGTAGCTTCCGTGATACGCCCGTTCGGAAACGCCACACGTACCATGTTCAGAACGTCCCTCACTCCTCCTCCGCTTCAGGATCTTCGAACTGCTGTCTCCTGACTGCGGCGGGAACGGCGACGGCGACGACGACGACTTTTTGCTAGAAGTATCTGCAAGGCTGGGCTGCAGCCCACGAGGGACGACGACCAACCAGCAGGAAAAGGGACCTCAAAGCGGGTCGAGAAATTCGGGCCGCTGGCCCCACTCCTTCGTTCCACGTCAGGGGGCAGCAATTTACGCACTCTCATGATGGCTGTGTACTGAGCCTCAGTGAGCGAGAAACGTCCGAACCGAACGCGCTCGCACTCAAGAGTCAGAAGCTTTGGGGTACCCTCAGCGTACCTGCCACACGACCCGCAGAAGACAAAACCGCCCGTCCGCCAAAGAAAGTGAGAGCTGTGCAAAACGTGACCCCTCCACCCTAGGCCCTCGAGACGCACAGGGGGATCAGGGCAGCCTTTGAACCTAAAGTACTGCTCGTCGAACGGCGGTAAGGATTCAAACCCTCTAGGAAGGCGAACCGCCACGCGAGCAGGCAAAGCAGGCAGGGAGGTAAGGGGGCTCGAAAGAGCAGAGCACGATGACCGCAAACGCGAGAGAGCACTCTGCTGGGTCCTGAAAAACAATATTGCCACACCACGACGACGACGACGACGACGACGACGACGACGACGACGACGACGACGACGACGACGACGACGGTGACGACCGCCCCCAGGGTCGGGGGCGGCGACGACGGCGACGACGACATGGACCATGGACGACCTTCCCCCGGGAGGTCGACGGACCCCGCGACGCCGGCCCGGTGGCGACGGAGCCGGAGGTGCTGGGCAACGGGTCGCGCAAGCCGGTCGACGAGACGCCG